TAAAAAAGAATTCAGGCATCTGAGCTCTTGGTAGAAGTGTGACAGGTTGATTTGATGAAAATGACCCAGTTTGAGGTTTTGGCTTAACATAGTAAATTAGGAGACATGCACTGGGCAAGGAAAAATTCCAGCACACTTTGGTTCTTAACTTAAAATCATCTGCCCAACATTTACTGAGAGCATCACTAGATCATATTTCATTAAATTATTCTCCATTATAAAATCGAAGAGATATTTATATATTTTGTCAAACTAAAAGAGAGGAATTTTATGGGAATAGCTAATCTTAAGCTGAAAGTAAGCTTGATAAACAGAGAAAAGTAGAGTCAAGTGAGGTATAGTGGGAAAGAAAGACGAATCTTAAGAGAGAGTTGAGAGAGTGGAAGAGGGATGCGAAAATATAAGACAAAGATCATGATTGTGTCCAAGATTGCGTGAGAATGGTGCTCAGACAATTCTAGAAATGATTGTAAAATCGATACGTCATGGCATGCTCGTATCACATCATCATCAAATTCTTAGCAAAATGAGACTATTTCAATCATTTTGGAAACAAAAAATTCTTATTTACTTTTGTTCGAAAAAAATTATTTTGAAACAACATTCAAAGGATTTTTCTAATAGATTAAGTAACCACTAATATTACTGATATGCTTGATAAGTAATGAGCATTGTGGGTGTGAACCCCATCGAAAACCTTAAAATCAAGCAATGAATTTTAAATTTGGTTGTCTTAAAACTATGCTTCACTTCATATATAGGGGCAGATTACAGAACATATTTCTACTTTGAATTGGTTGAGATAAGTTGATGCTCAAATCATACTTCTTTTTCAACTGTTGTTGTATAATATCAAACAATTTTACATATGAAAATTATGCCGAATAATATTTTTTAAATTGATAATATGGAAAACGTTGTTAGTAAGACAATGCATTTGCTTTAATATATTTAAGAAACTCTTCTATTAAACTCCTTAAAAATAGTAATTTTTAAATTTCAAATTAAAATATCCATTTGAAGCATTGAACACTTATGGTCCATTTAAGCAAGAAATGCAATAGGAGCGCATTATCACATTAAAAGTCTATTAAAAAATTGAGTTGCCAAACCTTCTAAAGAGCATGGAAGTTATTGACGTTCATACTGTTTATGCAAATAGATTTTCAGTGAGATGACAGCATTCGCTTTTCAATGTAGACTATTATATATTTGTTTGAAATCTCTACCGCGTTATAAATGAAACCGAAATACTTTGAAATCGATAGATTCTAGGTGAATATTGCATTGATAATGCTTCATTTAGTTCTGCTTAATATGTGATTTTATTTAATCCAATTTCGCTTAATGTTACCGCACAACTTTAGCAAATAAGGGATTGAAACCTACGCCTCGTTGAAACGTGGTCTAGGGTTTGACGTGTGATCAACTAAAAAAGCAATGAATTTTAGAAAAATGAAAATCGAATAATAATTTCAATGAAGGAAATACACGTAGAAGGCTCTGGACTGCTTTATATTATGCAATTGTGTCATATTTCACTTTTAAAATAAAAAATCAAAAAATAATCTTGATTTTTTGACAGAAAATTAATTTTCGATTTGTTTAATGGATTTTTATCGCTTTCTCATAAAAGTGAAGCTTTTTGACGCCGTTGGTTAACAAAGGCAAACTGTGGCAAAAATTGTATCTTGTGCAGTATTTTTCTATTACATTACTTTATCGTCAACGTAGTTTTAAACTTTTGTAATAAAAGAATTTCCAGCGATTTCAAAATTATTTCCAATTTAAAAAAAACAAATAATGAATTTTAGAGCATTTTGATCAACACTTCGTGGATTTAAATTCTAGTAGAAATTGAAAACCACTCGATTTCATTTTTTAATTCAGAAAATTTCCATCAGCTGTGGGTACAATTTTCTACCATTTCGTCTATTAAAGATAGCTTTTATCAATCGATAGATAAGCAAAACTGCTGTTGCAAATTACGTGATGAACAATTTTAATTTAATTAGTTTCAGATAATTTTTGAAGCGAAAACTAAGATCAAATAAATTTGTGCATAATTTGATTTGCTAAAATTTCACCTCATTATGTAAATGGCAAAAATTTCTAACGGGCGAAGCTCTCTCAAATAGTTTGTAATGCTTGAAGTTCCCAACGACTTTTAAAAGTCCAGTAGAGTTGATTGATTTAGTAAAAAAAGCTGCTCATATAATTAATTATTAAATCAATTTGTCAGATCTATCTAAATTGGCGGCATTTGATATAACACTTAAGATAACTATCTTGAACAAATGTTTTGGGCAAAACATTAAGGCTGTGGTTAGGTGTTGATTGTTACACAAATGTTAGAATTGTCTTTACCTTTCAAACATTTTAAAACTTATAATAAGATCAATGAATTTAAAAACATAATAATTTTATTGACCAAGTTAGTAATTATTTAACGTGGAGGAGAAAGCGCACTTGTCATGTAATGCAACCGAAATACATCTAATCACAATTTGAAACTCATCCAAGCATATTTCCAGATTTCAACTCTGGCGCCTCAAGTAAACCGCTAATTAATTTGAAATTAGTGTCAAAATTGATTATGTTAAGGATTTTTGAAATTTCTGTTTAACACACATTTGAATATTTTGAGTGGATTTCAATTTCCTCTATTTGTGCAACATTTGAATACAATTATTTTAGAAATATAGTAAATATTCGAAAAGAATTTTGTTGAATTCACATTTATAGCAGTAAAAAGGTTGTCATGGATGTTAAGTTTACAAAACCTTTGGAGAAGTAAATTTAGATTTTAAAACTAAATCAATTACATAAATTTCAAATAAACTTAGCCATAATATCTTTTATATTCTATAGTAGGCCATAAATTGGCCAATTTAATATTTATTCATTTAAACGATTTAGCAAATAGGACTCACAAATGCAAATATATTGAAGTCATATTTTTAATTTTACAATAAAAGGGTGTAATTTTGTTCCTTCACAACGTTAAAAAATTATATTTTAATAGAAGTATTCTAATGTAATTGCTTCAATTGAATTGAAAATCGTGTAATTAGATTTTTACTCATAACAAAGACTGTGAAAGAACAGTTTTTATAAGTCTCTTACAAGTAGTTTCGAACTATAAGCTGTTTTAAATAGTTTTGTAAAAGGTTGAGCTAATATTTAGTTACTCGATAAAAGAAAATACAACTATTAACTTACACTCATTCTTGACCAAAGATCACATGCAGAATATTGATAATCGATTGGTGAGTCCAATGCAAACATCGTTTTCTAGATCTATTTGTCTATATATATTCTCTTTTGGTAGCAGGCAGGAAACTGGCGCTTAACTTTTAAAATTTGCAAACCCTCTGGACTGCACAAATACATTGCTACCTAATCGAATATGCCGAGCTTGCCTTTTTTGCAATTAACTTATATGACTTTGAATGCGTTTTTAGATGTTACGCAATCGATTGATTATGCCATTTAAAATAAGTGAAATTACTAGCGAAATCATACCTGACAATACGACTGCATTGTCATATGAGCTCATTCAGTAAGAGCACTTAACCAATATTCTTCAGATTCGATTCCGGTGACTATTGAAATTAATGAAATTAATTTTATACAGATATTATTTTATGCGCATATTTTTTCGTGCATCATAGGGAGGAAAAAATATTTTCCCCACAGACAATAGAATCGAGGATGCAATTGCAGGCAGAGAGTGGGCAAAACATATGACAAGGGGAAGGGTGGGGGAGGGGTTGGGGAGGGGTGGAGGGGGGGTATTGAGGGAGGAGAAATGAGAAGGAAGAAGATGAATTCTTCCACAATCTTCAGTTCTCAGAATTTTGCAGTTTAGTCGAGTTCCGAAATTGAAGAGAGTCGAGATTTTTTTTTTGAAAGAAAAATTTAATGAATGCAACTTGATATCGTGGGATGTTGGTAAAGGTTGGAACTTCTAGTTGCTATCTGAAATACAAAATTATAAAAAATAAGAATTTGTGCAGTAAAAGTTTCATGAAAAATCATTAATTCAAATTATTTTGGCAAAATAATATCAATATTTGAAACTTTAAAACCTTATCCATTTTGAAGTCTAATTATTAAGTAATTTATGAATTTCATTTAATCAAAGGATAATTGTAGGTCAGAGCTTTTTATTTAAGTATACAAAGTTACATTTTTATGCATAACGGCTGAGATCAAAGAATAATTATTCATAATTACTATTTATTTACATAAACTCCTGACTTTGCTTCCAATAAATATAAATAATATTGCTTAGCTCAAAAATTTATAAATGAACTGTAAGGTTGCATGCTCTATTGCTAACAAATCAAAGTTCACTGTATTATTTTTTGTCATTACAAGGAGAAATTATATTTTCCCTCTTCGTAGATAGGGTATAAATCAAAGATGGGGAGGCTTGTCACTTAAGACTGAATCAAAACCATTTTCTAAATTCTTTTTAAATAATTATTAAACACAGTTAAACTTGGATTCATATTGAAGATGTTTGCATTTAAATTTAATTAAACGAAAAGAACTTCCTATTAATTTGTACGAATGGTTTTCTAAATCTAATTATGTGTAATTAGATCAATCCAATTACTTCTGGTTTTGAAAAAGAAAGAATGTTTTTTCTAAACGATTTATCGATTAACCAGTTGATGAAGAAGGCTTGACTACTTGTTGTAGAATATAGGAACGACTTAAAATGAAATTCCTTGATTGAGTTTGATTAAGTGATTTCTTCTCTTTTTGTTAATGCCAGCAAGATTTGTCAGCTAAAATGAATTGTTCGCAAAGTAATTCATTTAATATAAATTGTCAAAATGTGCTCACTTTTGTTAAAAATTCTCAAGTCATCTTTTTCAGGTGGGAATATTGTGTCAGACTATCTTAAAATTGAAACCCTGTCGGGAAGATCTAGACACACGTTGGATTGTTTTTTGTGCAATAAAAGTAAAATAATCCAGATGTGGGAGCTAGGTGAATTTGTTCCTTCTTGTGGTTTCTTCAACGGATCCGTCACCATTTTCCGTTGTATCACTAATACAATCATCGGTTCGGACATTTCTTTCAACGTCCTAAACAGGAAAATTCAATGAGATTTTTCTACATTAAGTGAAATAACTTAAATAAATTTTAATGAGCATTTAAAGTTGCAATAAGAAAATATATTAGAGAAATAAAAATCACATTATTAATATGCCTCTTCCAAAACCTCTGAATATTTTTGTAAATTAGATTACAATCAATTATTCCATAATTTGATTTAATATTAAAAATAGGCTATGGGAAAGTTTGTAAAAATCAAATTGCATATAAAATTAATTTAAATTTTCAGAATTATTTGAAATTTTCAACTGAATTAAAAATAGTGATATTTAAAACAAAGTTAATTTCCATAAATGCGAATCTTTTGAAACGGATCGCATTATTGACGTTAAACCTCATCAACTTTTGACACCCAGGAAAAATAAACATATTTAAACAGAAAAATATTCACACAGAGTTGTCTTAAACTGGTATCCCTTTAAAACTGCGAAGTAATGGGTTTTTAAATAATTCATGTCTTTTTTTATTAAAATGTCAAGTGAATAAAATTTAATAAATGTATTAAAAATTATCGTAAGGACAGATGAATATTATTTATCATTAAAAGGGAAATAGTGAGGAATTGCAAAGTAAATTATTTATTTCAATCGGTTGGCAGCTTTTTCAAATTTAACTCAGAAAATAGTTATTTTAATTAATAAATTACAGTTTCGGATCAATTAAATGCCCAATGACGGTTCACTATTAACCAATCTTATCACATGTAAGATACAACTCATGAATTGCAAACTCCGCGTTCTCTAATTAGAATACTCTTTTAGATACCTATTTGCTCCTCATTTTGAAGTGTTTAGGGGTGTAATTATTTACGTAGATAGTGCGAATCCTCCCTATGCTATAAGATATAATTGAATCGATTTTAAAATAAATAAGTTTGAATTTAAAATGCATATTTGGCTTTACGTAAATATTTTCCCACGTTTACTTAATATTTTCCCCTAATCGGGCTTCAAAGAAAGAAAGAAAAACCAAACCTTTTCGAGCCTTATTCGTGATTCTTCCCCCGATGTCATTGAATATTCTAGTGAAGCCGAATCCTCAAGACAGCATAGGCAGAATCTTCTGTGGCGGCGCCGTATTGTTCCATCATCTGATGCCCTGGAATTATTTGTTAATCTACTTGGACTGCGAGTTCTATTGAGAGATGCCGATTTTCCACAACGATAGGGTGTTTCATTGATAAAAACTGGATGCATTTTGTGCAATACATCGTGAATTTTATGTGATGGACGCTCAACACAGGGAGCGTAATTTCGATTCTAAATAAAATATAATTAGAGCATAAATTTAACAAAATACTCTAAAATACTGGATAAAAATTAACGCCATGCAACTTTACCATTTGCGTTCATTTATTTGGATTCGCTCATACAAAACAAATATTTATTTGTCTGGAGCAACCAGAAAATTAGGTAGTTACATCATGCAACTGAACCCATTAAAGCAAAATTAGACGGAGTCATTAAATTTAGCGAGTTGTTTCTTTTTGTTGAACAGACTTTTGCTTTTAACGGAATGCGGATTCATCTGCGCAATAATCTAAAAATTCTTATGCATGGTTGTTGGGGTTTTCCATAGTCGGACAAACTCCGTTAAATAATTTAACTTTAGTCGAGGGGTGTGCGATAGACTTACCTCCACGTGTTGCACCCTGGGCAACGTATACTCATACGCCAAAAAAGTCTATTAACTGCACCCTGGGGAACGTATACTCATACGGCAAAAAAGTCTAACTGGGCAACGTATACTCATACGCCAAAAAAGTCTATTAACTGGCAGTTGACCTCTGACTTCAAACTACCATGACCCTACTCTATGTCATATTCGACCCCTTCCACAGTACACATCTAGCCTTTTGTCTGCCTTTGTGTCTGTCTGCCTGACTCTTTTACATCTGTGAATCGCTCTTCTGTTCCCCAACCCTCGACTTTCTGTTACTTTGATGAACCTTCCCTCTGTGAAGCCCGAAGTCAGCTACAATGCTAATGATAACTATCAAAATGCCTTCTGTTTGAAATAAATAAATAAACTTTAATCGAACTGGTTTTTACGACCAGACGAGTAGCCATCTGAAAGTACGCTTTTCTTGCTCGGATTCTGTCATCCAATATCTGATGAAAATATACTCTCACTCCTTAAGAGCACTACACAATCTAATCTTATTCACATTCACAGCGAGATGTCAACCAAATGTTCTACCACGATATAACGACATTCAATACCTCGATTTTTTTTCACCTTGTCTTTGTCGTTGTCCAAGTTGAACCGTAATTCAGCAAATAGCATCTAAACTCTCTCCCCCTCTCTCCCCCCCGTCGTGGAAAAAAGGCAAAAAGAACTATCGAGTGAGCGAGAAAGAAATGTAGAGAACGATGAAAGGGTGCTAGATTCGACCAAAATAGATCTGTGTTGCATTGCAACTTCATTTGTGGACCATGAAACATTGATTATCAATTTCTTGCGGGCGTGGTGTAATTAGCCAATTATGACCAGTTAAAATGCATTTATAATTTTGTTTTGAAGCAAGTTTAATTAAGATGAGTTTGGAAAAGTGTTTTGGAAAATTTCCTCTAATCCAGCCTCACTATACTAATTGAATGGGTCTTAAATTAAGGCTAAGAAAATAAACAAAAAACAATTAAATGTACTACAAAATTACACAGACCCTTGTTATATAAAACTCCTCTAAAAATGATATGTCCGTAGTTTATAATATGCGCCTAGTTTAAACAAAATTGCTGTTGTCTGTTATAACAAAGAATAAACATTCGCAATAATTGAAACTATAAAAAAATTTCTTACCACAGTCTGTTCAAGACAGAGCAAAAGATGAATAAGACGCATTTGGGCCTCTTCATCGGTGGATATGTTTTTCGTGTAGTTGATAGCAGCTAAGACGGCGCGTTGATAGCTTGCCACTGATGGCGTCGGTGTCAGAGGCCTAGGACACACTGATAGAGTATCTTCAGACTCCATTCGACAAATTGCCTTATCTTTGTCCTCAGTATTATATAAAAGTGTCATAGGTACCATTTTCTCCATAAATCGATTTACCAATGGGTTGTTGTAGAACAAGGATCCGGCATTGATCACGGAGTCTAAGGACTGACTTGTCGAATGAAGATCAGCATGTTTTTCGGCCGTTTTCGCGCGATTAACTCGAGCAAGACGGGCTTTCTGTTTTTTAATATAAAAATTATGTTTAATTAAAAGTTATTGTTGAATCAATCCAACTTTTACGATTGCAATGCATTTAAATAGCTCTTAATGCCAATATTGTTAAAGTTATTTTTTTGAAATTCAAATATAAAACATGGGCGGTGCAATGTTGAATGCATTTTCTTAAAAGCATGCTTAGCGGATGTAATGGAGATAGCATCTACATTTGCGAGAATCTATTTTAAGAACTGCAATCCTACGGGAAAATTGTAATTTAAGTTTCTTCTACACAAATTAGAGTAACGGATGAAGTTTTTAAGGATGAATTATTTGTCTCACATTACGCTCTTGCGCTAATTGTAATGTGACCGTATATGACGAGAGAAAATAAAAATATTTTATTCCCAGATAAAATGAAATCCGCTAGGAATCCACTATTTGTGTTTTCTGGGCTTTGTCGCTAAATGAAATTTTTCTCGTATGAAGCTATTCTCACTGACAGAAACTGAAATGAATGATAAGTAGTTAAGGTAACCTACATGCTACTATTCTGCAGATTGTAAATTTCGTCCGCCACCAAACCTCCTCTGTGACTACAAAATGGTGGAAGTTGAAACCATTAATTGAACCGCTTTATTAATACAATAGAGAGAAATACCACTTACTCCCCCCCCCCTTCCTCCCAAGAACTTTAACAGAAGAACAATTCATTTCATTTGAGGAACATGAAACCGCTCCCAATTCAAAAACTAATTTTGGATGCCATTTCAAAACGGAGAAAAATTTGAAAACATCCGCATTTGAAGTATGTTCACATAGTGATTTTTGAAAATGGTTATTAATTTCCAGCTTAACGATCTTTCTGGTTAAAGTTATTTAACAAACTCTTATTATGAAATAATTTTAAGATAATTTTTCAATTATAACAAAGCAAAAATAGAGTAAAATTACCATTTATAAAGTAAACGTTTGAATCATTTTCAAAATTGATTAAGTTTACAATTACTGGAGGAGATAAAACCATATATCTTACATTCCAATTTTGGAAAGGAATCGTAATTTAATGGTTAATTATCTATGCAGTATTTGAGGTTTCTTATCCGGTAAAGCAAAATTACTAAATTCTTGACACAAAAACTACTGAAGCACTTTAGGATGATCTAGTATTCAAGATTTTGATTGAACATCTGCATAACATTATACCCCGAAAAAAGTGGTTTCACAAAAAGGTCTTTTGGCCAATTGAGTGCTCTATGTAATTATCGTACCATCTAATAATTTCATTATATGCTTCTATGTGACCACACGCGTTTGACTCCTTGCGATTTTGTGACTTCAGCTCAAATTCAACACTTTACATTTCAATTAATGAATAATTAATAAACAATTTTAATAGTCTCTTTGTTGCCTCGAAATTTTCAGATTTATTAAAACTCTACGCTTTGCCCAAATTGCATTAATTTTGTTTTTTTCGAAGTGCGTATGATGTCAGTAATTTGCGTGAAACTTCATACTATTACGGATGGGATCTTTACTTTAAATGTAAAAGAAAGAACAAATTCATTGCTTCTCTTATCCTTAGCAGCACACTGTGAGCATTCTTTGCTTCTTGTTCAAGAAAGTAGCCTTGAATGTCACTTTGTACGTCTTCAATAGGCATAGCATGGATAAATTTCTGTCAATTTCATTAAGCGCAGGCGATATTCATGAATAGTTCATTTCACATAAAGGTGGCTGAAATATGCTAATTGTCATAACTCTTTTCTATTCTGGAGCTGACAAAAAAATGTTTATTTAAATGCCATGATCAATAATTCAATATCTCAATGGAATCTAAGTAGGAGAATATTTTGCAAATGCCTTGATTCGATTAGTTTAAATAATTCTTTTTGCTTCTATATGCTTAGTACATATCAGAACATTTAACTTTCTTAATTTTTTCAGTGACTTTGAATCGATTATTTACTTTTTATTGACCATATACCTATTTGTCAATTTATAGTCAATAATTAAATTGTCCAATAAGAAATTTGATAAAATCTCTCTCTTGAGCCTGATAATCAATGAATCAATATCGCAAAATTTAACCATTCTCTCTGTTTGAAAATAAAAGCAGATGGCCCCAGAACTGACATGCATTTGTAAAGATTCACTCCCTTCTTTCTGCTCTCATACTTTCCAGTCATTCAGATGACATTCATTTTTTCATTGTGGCTAATAATGAAGTAAACATTCGTTGCCATGTCTGTTTATAACAGCTAACTTATTGCTGAATGACAGCTAAACAGAGTGCTTTGAGAACTCCACATTCAGCTCAATGGCATTTTTGAAGCCTAGTAGATGGAGCATAACTTAGTAAAGTAGGATAGTTTAAAACTCAAGGAATACCCTCGCTTATAAGCTTTGACAAATGTAGGAACCTTTTGAAATTCCCCAAATGCAATTTTTATTAAATATCGTTTAATTGTTTTTTACTGTTCTACCCTATAATAAAAATGAAAAAGCCTAGTTAATAAATATTGTATCCAAAATTATTAAGGATTTGCATGTGTTATCATTGGAGCTCTCGATTAATTGGTTCATTAGTAAAATTTATTTTTGTAAAATTGCATATGAGAATATATTTTTCCTTAGTCCCTTGAAGGTATTATTATAGCTGATTAAAAACTCATTTTGCTTTAAGTAATATTTCTTGAACAGAAAATTTAATTAAAAGTAAATAAAATTGGACATATTTATCCGCATAAATGCAATACTATAAACATAGATTTAAAAATTATGACATTTTGTTTTAAAATTTTAAAATATCCAGTGATAGACTTACCTCCACTTGATTCACCCTGGGCAACGTATACGTATACCCCAAAAAAGTCTATAAACTGGCAGTTGACTTCTGACTTCAAACTACCATGGCCCGACTGCATGTCATGTTCTACCCCTTCCACGGTACTTATCTTACCTATTCTCTGTCTTTGTATTTGTCTGTATCCTTTTAATCTGTGAATCATTATTTTGTCCCTCTCTCGTCTTTTTGTCACTTTGATGTTTCTCCTTCTCTCTGTGGAGCCCAAAGACAGCTAAATTGCTACTGATAACTATCAAAACGCCTGCCATCTGAAATAAACAAATTTCTAAAACCATTCTGTTCTTTATTTAGCTCATCCGGAACGCAATAGAATCCCCTTCACTTTACTTAGCTGAGAGGATGATACTGATTTGTTGTCAACCAGTCAAATAATATTAGTATTTCACCTATTGCCTGTTTAATTACACAGCAAAATATATGTTAAAATTAAAATTTTTATTGCTGGAAGTAACAACATTAATATCGCTCAAATTATCCCAAACATGCACATTGCAGTATTCGGAAATACTGTAATTACCTTATCCAGTGTAAATGATTGCGTTGGAAGTGTGTTTCAGAATGCATTTTGTAATGTGAAATGAATAATATTTAAAACCAAAAACTGCTTGCTCGCCAATTTTTTCGACTCAAACCTCAACAAATCATCCTAAAATTAGGCTTCAGTTAATGGTTTCAATAAATCTCAAGGAATTTGGTATTGACGAAAAGGAAAAAACCGTCATTGAAGATATAGTGACATTTTGGTTTCTTTACTGAAATTCCTAAAATTAATTTTTTTTCGTCGTGAAATGTTTGTGACCCCTCCCGTTCAATTTGTACTTAGGTTAATTGTTTTTCGTAAGTGGACTAACATTAAATGTAAACTGAAGAATTTCAAAACTTTTACATGCTAAGTATGTATGAATAAAATTATCGAATTTTCAAATCTTTTTATCAACAGTCAAATATTATTTAATTCAATATAAGCTGGAATGTGAAATAATTTTCTGCGTAGGCCCTAACATTTTATTTGGGATTGAAAATCACTCAAGTGACGATAAACAGCATTTAACATGTGAACAACGAAACAAATTAATCAATTAACAATGCCTTATTTCAATATCAGAGGCTTATGATAATGACTTATTCATATTAATAAATTAATTTGTTTCCTTGGTCATTAAATATTGAGCTGTTTCTTGAGTTAAAAATGTTCAATAATTACTAAAATGGAAATGTATAATTTGACAGCATGTTTGATATAACTGTAAAGCGCTGTTCCGTTATGGCGGGATCCTTAAAAGAAAAGAAAGAATTGGAAAAAAATGTATTAACTATCGTAATGAAACAAACACTAGACGTGTAATTAGAGTTGCGTAATTTAAAATTTGGAACTTTTAAATTAAACAAACTCAGTAAATAAACACTTCGCAAATAGAATGCATTAGACTCTTTGAATCCAGGCCTTGGATGCTTTCTGTTTCCCTTCAATAAAAATAATTATTTAATCTACTTTTTCGGTAATTTTCATTATGCAAGTTACTTTTGCACTCTTCGGTTATCAGGTGATAGTAACTTAACTTTAGTTTTGAGACACAAAATCTGCGATTTGGACCTCAAAATAATTCGCTTTGATCGATAATTAATATTAATTAATTAAGTTCGGGAAACCCGATATCCTTAGAATTCAAATAAAAATAACATTTTGGTATCCCGATTCGGTACTGCACAAAGCGCAAAGATAAACCTCTGATTAAAGTCTTACCAGGATTTGAGGTACTAATTTCGTGTTTAAATGAACTTTAATAATAAAAAAGAGTATTTTAGTTTACTTTGAGTAAACTCCCAGTTGCAAATCAACTTATTGGGTTGGCAACTAACTCGTTGCCGTTTTTGTTGACAGATTCACTCTATACTTTCT